TATATATATAAGTATGGTGCCAATGCCACAACAATAACAACAGAAAGTGGGGAAGGGCAGATCGGAATACAGATCGAAGTATAAAAACGGTTAAACAGATACAATGGAAAACAGTAGATAACAGGGCTAGGCAACTTTGCTGTCGTCCCGTTCAATACCACACCTAACTTATCGGGACATTGTCGTTCGCCACTCCAAGTTCCGGTTTTCGGTTTCTATCACTGAATAGCCAGTCCTAGTGACTTTGGGGTTNGGGTTTAGCCCGTCTGCTGTTTATCCCGCTAAAAAAGTGTGGGGTAAAAACTAAAACAATTTTTTGTGTTTCACCATCACCGCTATAACCAGAATGGCGTTTACGTGGTACCTCTTCTTGATTGGTTTGGGAATCACGTGAGCAAAGTAGCAGTTCGGTTTGACCAGTTTTATGAGTCTGAGCTTGATTCATCAATATAAGACATTTTTCTCAAATGCGAATCATGGCATTTTCACGGTAATTAGTTTGAAAGAGATACTTCTAAAAGTTTTCTGGGATAACAGCAGTTTCCTCCTGAACTAACTTCATTAAGCCCGACATCGTTCACCGTGCTCAGGTTCATGAATGCATATAAATATTTTCTTATACCTGGGCGCGCGATCCTTCAACAAATTTCTTTGTTCGATGACAGTTACAACTTATTCACTATCTAATTTTAGTAAACAATATGTGGACGGTTCTGTTTGATTGTTTTTTCCTGAAAGTACGAGTTTTGGATAATCGATTCTCAATTTTTCCTTTCACATTCGTCGCATGTGCGATATCCGTGATTTAATGGTTATGGGTTGAGCGGATTTCCTTGGTTTTTCGGACCACCAGCTGTTGTTTTGAAATGCCTTGCACTATTTTCATTGCATAATTTGTGTCGGGGTTTCTAGTTTTTGTTCTAATATGAAGGTTTCAGAATAGCGGTTAGCAAAAAGAATGCCTATTGTTTGTCAATAAAACCTGTCTTTACTTGGACAGCCTGGCACCTACAAACAGATTAAGCTTTGATAGCTTGTACCATTGTTTTTGACATATCGGGAGTATGAAATATATGGTAATAATATTGTGAAGTCAGTTGATGTCTATGGTTTAAGGTGGTTATCATCGTGGGTGGATCTCGTACATTTTAGTTCCTGTAGTTAAACTTCTTTGGTCGCTGTCACCGCATCGAGTCGCAATTTGAAATTTCACCAACATGTCATCTGTTGTCGACAACTTCATTATGATTCGGTCCAACATCACGTCTATACTAGGCTATTTTAACCTTGTGATTTCCCGCTACAACTTGTGAGCTCTAACTGACATGTCCCGTCAGTTGGGTTCATGGGTTTCTACCATCAAGTATGTTAGACAGAATTTAAGTAATTCTCATCGGGTCTATATGTATTAACAATAAGTGGACACGTGGGACTCGATTCTAGTGAGTCTTAAAACTATTTATTCAACCTTTTGTTGGACGTTTTTGGCCATACGACTAATTTTCTGACTACGGAACTGATTCTTTGGACTTGTTCCCAGTTTACGATTCATAGCAAACAAACGGTAAACATTTTGGTACTGTTTAGTTCTATTTTTGATTGGTGATCACCAAAGGCAAAATAGAGCTGTATTAATTTTCCGTGTTTTTTTAGTATTTGAATGCAGCCAGCATTATTGCATGGTTCTACGTGAGACTGCATTTCGTTGCATCACCGCGAATTATTTCTTGGTTTCTTTATTCTACTGTTCCTAGAGTTGGCAGAATCCTAAATTTGATTTGCCTCTCGTTACATTGACCCACCAACAATTCCGGGTGGTGTTTATTATCCCCCATTTAGGATGCCTATTTAAGTGCCATCGCTGAAATGGCATTGTGACGAAATACTGACTTGACTAGTGGTAAACCGTCAACGCTATCTAAACGTAAATTTTCAAACTATACCGCTTCCCAGACAAGTCGATTAATCTGTCATGTGACCAATGCATTCCGGTCGATACGTCCGTCCGTTTTGTCTCACGACTCGCGCGTATCCGTGCTTGCTATGCTTGCATGTGTAGTACACGCACGCGCAAGCCGTCGCTCGTCAGTAGACAGTTGTTCCGTCACGATGAGACCTGCCACCTATTTGTCTCACAATCAGGTTAATCCGGCTAACGATTGCAGTTTATGCGGTTACATTGATTGGGAAAGCAGCGATATACTCATCCATTCTCCTCTCACTTGTTGAGCGGTGATCCTTTGACCAGTTCATCGTGCTTCCAATTTTTAGCACGATAGTTGTCTGGGGCACGAAAGTCGTTTTCATTTTATTTTTATAACTTTTTTTACTCCAATAGATGATATAAACACCATATTTTAAGGCTAATATTTGATGATCTTAAGGATATGAATTCTGTAAAAATGTTCCATATGTGCAACAGCGGAAATACGCATTCCATTATTCCTGATAAAATGACCGTTATTAGCCCGGCTTTGTACGGTAATCTCGGTTCAGGAGTAATATTTTTATATCAGTGTGCGATTCGAAATTATGGCCATTTGAACTATCCACCTGGGTAGCACATTGACTTGGTCTGATTGATTACTCGCCTCCACAATCCAGCAAGTGCAGTGGTTTAGTCGCTGTCACCGGCATGCTTTGGACCCTATGATCCGAGGAGGTTCGAGCCCCGCCACCGCCACCCAAATTTGGTGGTAGGTAGTTCTTCTGTCGTGCGGTTCAATATCACACCTAACTTATCTGGGCTTTATGTGGTTCTCCACTCCAAGTTCCGGGGCTAAGGTTGCCGGTTTCCACCAGTAAACTGTCGGTCCTTGTGACCATGGGGTTTCCCCCCTCTACTGTTCATAATACTTAGGTGTGTCGAGGAGCAGTTCACTGGTCGAAAAATCCCCCGAGATAGATGAAAGCGCGACGGTTGGAGTTTCTGTATGTTATCTTTTATTTTTTTAAAATTTTCCCCACGTAACCAATTACAGAGAACTGGCAAATGTTGTTCATATGTTGGGTGGTGACCAGCCGCAATCCAGACACCCACCCCGACCATACTGTGGCTTTCGAAGTCAGATTGATGTAATGGAGTACGTCTATTTGAAGCGCGTGCGTGTAGTACCGGGCAACATCGATACATCGCTGAATCATGCCACAGGGATCAGTGGTCATTTGTAATTAACAACGAATCGGTCCGCGACTGATTTCGCTGTCAATGATACCTCGCCTGCAGACGGTAGTGTGTACTCAGGAAAACCAAGAATCTTTGCAGAAGCTGATTGAATCGCAGTCTCGGGATACACTGATCGCAGTACTTTTGCGGAGCTCATGGCTTTGCCACCGCTCCCTATTCATAATGAATTTCTGCACCGGATGGTACAGTTACATCGGTGTATATCAATTCCCCGTACTCACTCGTGGCTGTAACGAACATGCAATACTTCCATCTGGTGGAAATGCAAGATCACAGCGGAATTGTTCCCACACACCTGGCATTTGGGAATCAGAATGTGCAGTGAGTGTGAGCGATTTATGCGTGTCAGGATGTTTGGGTTGCAACTTCGGCTGGCGTCGGGGCACAGTGGGGCAAATACGTTTATCTCGGGTACTCTTAATCAGCTGCATACGTACAATGACAATCAAGGTTAAACAACAACAAAGGTTATGGGACAAATGAACACACCAATTGGGCCAATCGCAGGACAGGGGCAAAGGTCACACAGTCAACCACAGTGAGTGAACACATGACGGGGTTCAGTCCTACCAGGGCAAGGCAGGACTGGCCACAAAGTCTAATTGTTTACATAAATTGGGTTTAAGCCGTCGAATGGCGGAGGCTTCAGCTAACTGAAGTAGACGATGGTGTTGTGATCCTAAAGGACTTGCTAGGCTCCACACACAAGTTGCAGTCTAATATGTGGCGAGCAATAGAGCTTTTAGACCTTTATTTCCTTTCAGCGCTAGATTCTTTGGGATGTTCGGAAATCCTTACGGACAGCCTTCTCTCAGTTCGTCCAAGTGTTGGTTTTCCATCAGGACGAAACTGCACCTTGACGTGGTGTGATGATTTGCGTGCCTCCATGACCCTAGATGCTTCACGGGATTGCTTTCCACTGCCGCAGATCCAATCATACGTGAGAGGTCAATGGGTAGAGGCCAGACAAAGCTCAGTCTCATAAAACCAGCTGATTGTGTACCTTCCTTTGGTTATCACGCTCGCTCACTCCAGGAGATAAACACGATGAGAGGTAGTTTACCGTTAAAAAACCCCGCTAGAGAGACGTAGGACTGCGGTATCTGGTGCTTCCTCTAGACGGTAAGAGAAGTCTTCGCATTTCACTGGACAGTTACCGCCCGTTGAGCTGGGCAGCCTCCACTCAATACGGTGCTGTCCTGTATACATTCAGTTCATCTCGTTGAGTGCCTGAGACTAAGTTTTGTGGGCAAGTACTGTGGGGGTGTCTAACCTCTAAGCAGGAGAACGATTAGGGTTCTCGTCTAAAGCCTTTAGTTATAACAACCGGAGTAGAGGTCCATTTATTTGAATCAATCACTCCTACCATTTTACCGACTGAGAAGTCGAACAACTAACCTGGAGGACCAGAAGACTGTACTTCGTCTGACCTCCCAGGCCTGATAAAACCTGGCTTGATAAAAGCCATCCTGTGTAGCTCTTTTTTTCATAGAGGTGCACAAACCATCACACCATGTAAAGGTGCGGTCTCTTTTCGTAGAATCCATTGCTGATTTAATACGTAATATCCGGTCACAAGAGCGCATTTGGTTATTCTGGAGCGAATCACTAATCGTTCTAGATTTAAAAAAGCTCTCACAACGCCACTGCAAACCACCTTGGAATAAGTTTGGCCCCAATCGTCACCAAAATATTAATTTCCGTCATACTTCGACGTGTGACACCGTCTAAGGAGATAAATATTATCGAACAACAAACAGGATTTCGACCCGGTCGCGGTCGTATCAATCAAATCTTTAGCGTGTCAAGTTCTTGTACTACGCGATACACTGTCGAACAACAGTTGTCGTGTTCCATAACCTAAAAAGTGTCTTCGTCTCTCTTTCTCTCTCTCTCTCTCTATATATATATATATATATATATTATGAAAACAGGATAAAGTTAGACTATCTGTGTTTGAACACCATTGTGTACGCAGCATTGAACGGATCTGGAGGGACAGCCGGACTAGCAATACTGAGATTAGACGCACAGTTTTAGGTAATCGCGGGCGCCCACTGGAACAAGTGGTTGACCTGCATAGATTACGTTGTTTGGGGCATGTGTTAGGCATGTCACCAGATAGGTTGCGACGGGGCACGATGTTTGTCGATGCAGATAGTGGGTGGGAAAAAACCGCGGGTTTTCAAACTAAGACCATGAGAGTATGAGAGTATTGAAACCCTGACCAGGATGCTCGGTCTCCAAGGTCGCATTAGGCCCCCTGGATGAGGACCTCGATATCGTGGCTGGAGACACTGATTTTCGTAAACAGCGGTGCTCGATCATCTCTATTCCTTCTGAACCTTAGGTAGCCGGAATTCTCCATTTTCTGTTCGATTCCGCTCTTACGTTTCCAATCTTTCTTCTACTAATTCATCCAAATGGGCGTGTAGAAGACGGCGACGAAACCCGACATGCGAGAGTGCATGGGTAATGATTTTACAAACAATGAGCTTTGTATGTATATGGGAACATTGGAGCTTTTGGAATAGTGTGGAATGATTGTGACATGGGATGTTTAGAACACACCAACACGTTAGGGCGTCTTCGGTGTCCAGTCTTCAATTCATGTTATTTTGTGACTGAGTTTCAACTGAAATTATACAAAATTTTGAGTTATCTTTTGATATTCTGCTGATTCGAATAATTGGAGCTGGTCAATTACACACCCGATATCCGTTTAGTATGGAGTTACTTAATGCCTCATCCGGTTAACCGGTTTCTGAAAAGTATGCCTGATTTGGATGTCATCTCTTTCAAGCCCTCCATCAGTCTGAAGCACTCAGTGTGATTCGTTATCTTCTATCGTCTTACGGTCTTGGTTATATCTTTTATTAAAAACAAAGTGACCAATGATATTCCGATCTTTAATTTCCCGTCACAGATTTGTTACTGATGAAACTCAGGATCTTTGAGTTTTCATAAAGATTATTGTACCATGATTTGTTTGCACACGATGTGTGTGAATATATTTGAGTTTGTCTAAGTTTTCCAGTCAGTTTACCCTAATGATTTATTAGTGTTGGTGTTCGCTATTCAATCGAATGCTTCTGATTTTTTTGTGGTTCGTGTAGGTTTCAATCTTGGCGATCAGAACGACATATTGTCTGGTTTCTCACGCGCTCCCGGACCGAATCTAGGCACAGAGCTATGGAATAATTCTTTGTCTGCATTTAACGGAACCGAATCGACTATGCTCCCGCCATCGATGCAACAGCAACTCCTTGGAGCTGGGTCGCAGTTGAATTCATTATTTACCTCCGGTCCTCCACCGAATGGAATTCTACCACATCAGTCACATCTCAGTCACCTATCTGGTTCCACCAACCCCGGATGCGACAGTCTGAACGGCTTGGGTTCATGTAAAACAACACTCTCCGGTTCGAATGGAGCTCTGTTGCACGCCACCGATTTCCACGACTCAGTGAGCAACTCCGCCTCGGTGTTCAGCTTCAGCGACACACTTGGTGCACATTTCGGGTCGACCAGTGGAGATCTGAGTCCCACATTACTCATGCACCTCCGGGCTCAGCAACAACAGCAATCTCACAGCGATTTATCTCATCAGCCACTCGCTCGCCGTCATAGTGATTGGATAGTCAGTTCAGCCAATTTGCTCCCCAATGACCTGTCATCCTCAACGCGTCCGCACACTTCGACAGCCATTGCGGCTTCAAATCGTCATATGACCATGTCTGAACAGAAGTCGCAACAACTAGGACTGACTGGACGAGCGAATTCTGATCATCCAAGCAGTCCGACTGGTAGTAATAATGGTCACCTGATGACCACAAACAACGGGACTACTGGCCCTGTCAATTTCGGCTCCAGTTCACCACAGTTCGACTTGATAAAGGCGTTAGATCAGCTGTGTCTGCACTCAGCCTTGGATCCAGCTAGTGCNCGGGTTCGTCCTCTTTGCCACATTGCCCGCCGGGATTCGAACCGCAAACAGTCCTCACTTCACAGTCCTTGTCTTCACCCACATTGCAACTATCACAACAAGCACCGGTGTCCACCACAGATTCTCTCTATTCTGTCTGTTCGATGAAACCCACAGATCCCGATTGCTTTATATCTATTCCAGCCTCAGCAAATATTCACNATATTCACCATTCAAATGATGTGTGGTCTACATCCGACTGTTGCGTAGCGGCCTCAAACAGTCCGTTCCTTCTCAACGCCCAGACCACATGCACCGAATCGACATCCACGGTCTCGGCTCTCCATCCTTCGGACTACCTCAGTCCCAACGGATTCAGCAAAAACTCCCTTCTTCGTCGTCTGTTCTCGAGCGCAGGTACCGGTCTTGATCACACGGTGACCGCAAATGAAGATGAAGTTGCAAAAACTGCTCGTTTGAATGCAATCTGGTCGCAAACAGCGAACGACCCTATTGGTCCTGGTACCACCAGTCTGGGTTCGAGTGGGCTTGGTCGCGAGTCGTTAGATGATGGAGCAGATGATGATTTGGTCGTCGCATTTCCCTATCTTCATAACTCAGACAGTGGCCATACCGGACCTGCCAACAGCCCACTCATTTCATATTCTGGTGATGGGATTACTGGGTCAGCCTCAGTTCCTGAGCATCCGGCCACTACAAGATGCTGTGGGGCGATCGGTGAGGGCCGCCGCCGTCGTCCGTCTACCCGTCCGTCCAGTCCACTTAGGGTAGATCAAATGAGTGGTGTCTCAGTGACCTCGTCGGCTATTGCATCCATCACCGAAGTCGCTTAGTTAAAATGTGAATATTACTGTGCACGTCGGTCCAGTTTCCCCCTCTGCCCTTTCTATCATGTCCTATTTCGGTTCACCCACTGAGCAATCTATCAATCATCCCAACCAATCAATCAGCCAATGGCTTGTTCGATCAGCTGACTCAATAGATGAACTCGCTCCATTTCTGTCTGTAAAACTTACCAAGCCCCGGTCTCTTACTGCACACAGTACCATTTGTTCTGAACTATTATCCTTCTTACTATTGCTAACGTTATGGTATCATTATTCATACTATCATTCTTTTCTTATTATTACTACCACTCTTTATACCATTTTCGATGAATGTCATACATTTGTACAGTTCACGGCCGATAAGCGTAGTGGACACCCCATTCGTCGAAGTTGCCCCGGTCGCGTCTGTCTACAATCGTTCTATCTGCATACACTTCCCATGGTAATTTCATTAAGAGCAAGAGATATAAATCCCTCATGGTTGCTCATTTCTATCCTTACGTATATACACACCATTCATACATTGCTGCGCATATATACTCACAAGAAAACGTTTTCTGGGGTTGTTTGTGGTAGTAGTAGTTAATTCGGACGAACTGCATCAAAGATTGCCGTGCGATGCTGTCCACTGACATATGTAAATGCGTATCTATGTCCGCATCCCCTTTGTCCGTTTGCCGGTGCTACCCTTGTCGTTCGCCTAACAAACACCCTGTCTCATTAATCCCCGTGACTCATTGAGGGCAGTATCTTTCTCGTCCTGTCCAATCCGAAGTTTGCAGAGACTTGTCTCCCTTCCTATTCGTACATCTTTGTTCCCGTTCTACTTTTGCTACTACTAATACCAGTTCACACATGTCTGCTACATAAATGCGATCCCTTCCGACAAACCTCTGCTTCCAGGTGTGGTTTGTTTGTTCCAAAGCGATTGCTGGCTGTTTGAATTGTCTGTATCTTCTTGTCACCCTTATCATCGTCTTTACCACCACCACCGTGTCTGTTACTCAAACATTTTATTCTCTTGGATATTGTTACTATTTATATTGTTACTGATTCGGTAGCAAGAACCACCCTTTCCCTCACATTTGTTACTATCTTTCGACTACTTCAGCAGTTGCCGCTTGAATCGCGGTCCTCGATAATATTATGCATCTCAACGCCACCGTTACTATCCTTATTAATCCCTTATGTATTATTACTACTGCCTATTTTTGCACGTCCTTCTTGAGTATTTGTAGACAGAATTGTTACATCAATGCCTTTGTCACAGTTACCACAAACAACCAGACATACACGCACACACACATGGACGGTGTGTCCTCGTTCTCGCTCCAGTTGACCTACACATCGTTTCTGTTCACCATAAGGATAGTGAAGAGATATGACACAAGATAGAGTCGATGCTCAGATCACCATGTCTCCCCATTTCTCGTGACTCGTTTTCATCGTTCCGTATCCACTATTATGCACCCATTCGTTTTGTCCCGTATCTCAGTTCACGTTTGATCCAATTTCCGAGTGCTCTCTTCTCCCAATGCTCTCCACGTATGCCCTTCCACCTCTTTCTCCTATTCATCATTGCATTGCTATTCCCGGTTTTCCACGTTTTACCACCAACCCTCACTCCCAACAGACCTAATACCCACGTATATACATAATTGCATACGCAGACACATGATGCATTCACGGATTCATTCATCTACAGATTCTGTTTTTGGCACGTTGAAGATGTCTATGTTGTATTTGTGGCCCGTTCCACTCCCCCGATGATAATACCAGAGAGAACCCCGAACGGTCCTACTTTGATTCGATCGCGACCGATATATATATCTGTGTATATCTAAGTCGCTGTTGCTACTCAGGGGATTTCTTTTCCTTTCGGGTTGCCTGATTGATTGGCTCGCGCGTATTTCCACACACATACAAAAGGATTCAAACAAAATACCAGATGCTGATAATTTTGGTCTAATTGATAAATCGGTCTTCCCGCCTGTCATCGCCACTGTGAATACCAACGCCAACATAACAACCACCGCCGAGACCACTATCAAGAACAATAACAACAAGCGCGGTGCCCACCATTCTTGTGCCCCTGTATTTGTCACTCACTCGTTTGTCTCACTGCAATTACGGACGGTCTGAGTCAGCACAGTTCATTGAAAGGAAAATACATGAACTTTCTCGCACGAAAGCCTCAGTGCTTCCTGTTGTTTCCTCTCTATTTTTGTGGACAGTATCTGTTGTTGTTGTTATTATTACATTACTGTTATTAATATTGTTGATGTTGTTGCTGCTCTTGCTCCGAGGAATGTGAAAGACCCGGTTCCACAGAGACCGCAAGTAGACAGAAAAATCGATGCAACTCTCTGCTCGACTATCTTCGCTAGCACCACAAACGTGTCGATTTATGTATCACGTGTGTGCCTCCGACACCCATACCCGCGCACATTCTTGGCGTTCGTCTATCACTCGCTCGCTGTGTGTGCTATTGCAAGTCCCGGTTTCCGCTTTGTTCATGGTGCAAAAACTCGGCGTGCTTCGGGCGCCAGTTACACAAGCAGACACACGGTGCAAACTCCTCTACCACACGACCGCAATTATCATCTGTAACAGCAGCAGCATCACAATTCTCGTCACATTGCCGTACCGTCAATTTCGGGGACTAGGTGTACTCATTCTTCTCTATTTTTCTATCTCCTCTCGTTGTCAATGTGAATACGGTGCTCCCAAAATCAGCAATCGGATCACGCTCTTGGTTTATTTGTTTTTCCCTCAACCGATCCGTTATCCCCGTCACCACAACACCGGTTTGATTTGATCGATGTGAGCATTTTGCACGGTAGCAAATACCATGAAAGAAAAAGCCTTTGCTGACCTGATTCTTCGATTGAAGAAGCCTCTACTCTCGGCTCAACCGTTTTCTTTCTTGGTTCCACTTATTGGTCTGTGTGCACACGCGCTCGTCGCGTTCGCTGTCCGTCACGTGGTAGCTCCATCTGCTCGCACTACTTAGCACACAAACAAACAAGTTTACCTACAGAGTTTACTGCACGCGCGTTGCGTCACCATCGGCTGGCTTTTTTGCATCCTCGAATCCACTGGATCAACCGCTCACAAGCATAAGCTCACGATGATACCTGAATCCGTACCGCACGGCAACAATGTGATGCTTAATTTGGACTACGTCGTTCGCTATTTCTTGCCTTGCTGACGGAGATCTTGTCAGGTTCTTGACGCGTCGTGTGTTTGTGTGTGATCAAGCCACATACCATCACCATGCAACACAATCGTTTTTCTTTTGTTCAACGTTTTGAATTACGCGCTTATTTTACTCGTAAGGTCGTATTTTTGATGGTTAGTTTCCTTTATCGAGCGTTCCGCTCAATCTAAAGTTCCCGTTTCAACCCGTCCCACTCGCACAGACACGCTATGGTTCATCCCATCCACTTCCACTCCGTTGATTTGGGATATGTGCATTCGCTCGCACTCGCCTGCATCGCTTGTTCATCGTGCGATATTGCTGAATTTTAAATCAGGATTTTTGATCGTGTGAATCTTACACAACCACTGTCACACTAACTGTTTGCCGAATCGAATCATATGGTTAGATTCAGTCACAAATGTGACATACACACACACACAGCGAAAACCCCGATCACCCCACCTCTTATCTCCTCGTTCCAACTCTTTAGGAAGATGGTTTTCTGTTTAATGCACACTGCTCTGTAGTTAAGTTTTCGACATTATTTTTCTATTATTCCTTTCCTCGCATTATCAGGCTCCATGAGACAACCTTCATACAATCTTCTTGTTCCCCCTTACCCTAAACACAAAAGCTTAAACGTGTACCTCCTTACGCCTCTTATCCGTTTGTTCTTTCGTCAGTCAAAACATGTTTTCAAGGGTCCGAATTCCCTTCGTTGAACATCACTGGCCAGTTTAGTAGCTTGATCGGTTACCAAATCAATGAGACGACAAAAGAGTTTCATTTACACTTCATCTGTTCGCTCCACAATCTTTTGCGACCAGTCTGTTGTAAGCTGTTATGCTGTTTCCTCAACTCTTTATCCAGGAATGTCTGTCTTCGTCAGTGCTCCTCACTCGGATGCAGCCCCCTCTCTGTCCTCGCTTTACCTCTCTTCTTACCCGTTGTTTTTGTTCTTTTCTCTTGCACTCCTGTCATTATCTCTGCATCGGTCTTCTTTTCTTGGTTCTCCGTCACTACAGGAAGTTCGTACGTTCTCATTTCACGCGTTGATGTCGTCATTCTTTCTGTCGTTCTACTTGTTCCTGTTGTTATTCTTTTTTTCTCGGCTGCGGTGTGGTCTTGTTTATCTCTTTGTTTTGTTACTCATCCTCTCCGTATGTGTACAAGCAAATTTTTGTACTACAGAGAAATCCGCTGCCTGATTAAGATCGTTCCGAGTGTGCCTCTACCCTATACCTATGTTTTGTTCGCATCATAGAATCTGAGTTGATCAGTGCAACCATTCGCACACAACAGAATCACTTTATCCTGTCAGAATATGCATTCAAGCAGAAAGTTAGTCAGCTTTGGTCCGACGATCGCGTTTTCGACATCAAGAAAGCTGTTGAGTATAATAGAAACAACTGGCCTTCGTACCCCAGTCGTACGATTTCACTGTGTAATTTACCCATCATAGTACACTCCGTTAGCGCTGTTCACAGTTCTGATCGTCCCTCTTTCCCAATCGGATTTATTTTTTGTTTCGTGTTCAATCTTGCTTTTACTGTGTCCCTGTGTGTGTGGCCATCAATCTTCTATTTTTTTCTTTTCCAACTTTCTTCCATGCAAGCGCACACATCTGTGCACCGAAATGAAAGCAACTAACTGTGCCCAGCACCAATATGAGTGAACTCATACGTGACTTCACTTTGTGCTAATCTTTCCACGTGCAGTGATTTTTTTCTATCGTCGACCGGTTTGCCTCCACAATGCTCGAGAAACTATTTACCATTTGGTCTTTTTGTGTCTGCCTAATTCG